GACCTGACCGCGGGACGCGCCTGGCGGGGGACCCGCTGGCTGGGGCGGACCGGCCCTCGCACCTAGGGGAGCGAGGATCTACTGAGGCACCGGAGAAAACGGAACCCTGCCGCCCGATCCTCAGGGCCCTTCTCCCAGTCCTCCGCTAAGGAGGAGAAACAAAGATTTTCACAACCTGCAGGTCTGGCGGGGTTCCTTCTCAAAATCAATCGGCGTGTGTACTTGGGAAGGCCAGGAACTCCAAAACTGGGCTGGGGGGTCGGGTGTGTTTTCAAGGAGAACAGTTTTATAGATTTAATATAGATTTGGACGTGGAAAATCGAATTTTCAGAAAGTCTTTTTTAACGAAGCAAAGAAATATGTATCCAGTTTCACATGCTGCTTTAAACTGACGAACTGGATGTTAGAAGAAGAGAGACGCGGAGGGAGGGAGGGAGGGAGGGGGGCGCTTGAGCCACTGACCTGCCCATTGTTATTTGAAGCTCCTTTGTTGTTCGTAAGTTTTAATTTTCCAAAAGAGATTTCTTGGCGCATCCAGTGAGCCCCAGTGTTGGGGGAATCCGGATGCATATAGACTCGATTTCCTAGGGAAAGAAATACGTTGTTTACATATGCCCGGGGCACTGCCCAGTCCCAACTCCTCGCCACGTAAGACACACACACACACACACACACACACACACACACACACACACACACACACCTTACTCCGCTGTGAGGCCCATTAGCTGGGGCTTTTTAGGCCGCTCTTTCTTCCTATTAACTGGGGGGTGATTAAAATAGCTTTTGCATAATCCTCCCCCCTTATCGCCGCTCAGTCTGTCCCCCTGTCCCCCTCGTTTCCTTTTAGAAGTCATTGGCCGATCGTTTTAAAAGTCGCTCGAGCCAGTCCACAAAGGCTTTAATTAATCATTCTCACCTAAATAAGTGTCAAGAAAATGTGTTAATTGGAAGGACTTGCCTTGCACATTGGTGTCCGCTTTGCCGCAAGGAACCCATTTGCCTCCTTGAAACCTCCAGTGATTGGGATCCGCCAAAATCACATCCACAAAAATATTGTAATGAGCCGTGGGATCGAGACCAGAAATGTTAAAACTTAAAAAAGGAAACATGCGCCTATTTAAATGAAGGGGGGGGGGGGGGAAGAAAACAAGAAAAAAGAAACATAAATGTTAAAGATTAAATGCAAGAAGCGGGGCGCCAGATAGCAAAGCAAAACTTGTTCTCGCAGCGTATATGAGCGAATCTTTGCCGGGCTAGAGAAGGGGTGGTGGGAGAGGGAAAGCGGGGGGACCCGAGTCAGGGAGAGCGGCGGGTGAGCGGCAGCGGGGCGTCGGCGGGCTCCAGGGCTCAGATGGAGCGCGAGGCTGGCGACCTGCGTCCGCACCTGTCCGAGCATGCCGGCGTGAGGCGTGCCTCCGCTCTCCCCGCCGCTGGCCCGGGCGCTTCC